GTGTGTGTGTGTGTGTGTGTGTACCTTTCCCCATCACACGCGTGAAATGTCCTGCGATGTCTCCGTCACCGATGGGTGCAGACGGTGATTCTCCGTCACACGCTGGAGGATTGTGGGTCTGGAGGCCCTCGCTCTCCTTCTCTTCACCGGGATTGGCTGCTTTATCGACAGGTGTGACTCCAGGCTCCACCTCCTTATGGGAGGCAGTGGGCGGGGCATAGACTTTGATTGGCGTGATGATGATCTGCTGAAGCTCTTGTAAAGCATTCCGAACGTTCCCGCCTTCCAGAATATCCTGAAATCAACAACACGATTTACGCTAAGCAGACGGTTCGTGACATGCAGAACACAAACGAATCCAGATCACTGACTGATTGCTCACCTTTTCAAGAGATTTGAGGACGCTCTGTCGTTCTCTGAGCTTCTGTATGCTCAGAGCGATCTTATGTCGAGCTCCTTTTGTCACGTTCTGAAACAAACACCACACAGCAAGTGAAGTTGCTAATATTGATTACAATAATTCCAAATTATGTTATGTTTTTCTATTAACCCTCATAACACATTCGGGTCCCTTTTGATCCTGAAGATTACTGTTTTTCATCTGAAAGTGTAAGTTTATTCAAGTAAAATTCATTTGTTTTGTTTGAAAACTTTTCAGAGTAATATTTATGTTGTTTTGATGTCATTGTGTCATTGCGTTTCTTAAATTTGGACTGTTTTTGAACAACAATTGTAATTAAAATTAGGATTTTTTTTATTTTTGTGCAATTATTGAAATTAATATAAGGAATTTGCATCACGGTTTATTTGGTGTGGTTCATGTATGATTTAAAATTTAAAATAAAAAACAAGGTAACATTCAAAACTTTGAAATCTTTTCACATTCACTGATTAATGAGACGCTGTTGATCAGATACAATGGTTTTAATTGAAAAATGTATTACCATATAAAAGTTATTACTAAGTTTTATAAAACAACAATTATTTGGTTCCAAATGGACCCAGAATACAAAAATAGTATATGAATGCATTATGAAGGTTAAAACTTACTACAAAAGACTTTGTATTGTAGCACAGACAGTTAAAGCGTTTATTCAGCAACCACAATCACAAACAATATAGTTGAGATCATGATTAAAATACGATTAAATTGTGCAGCCCTAGAAACTACCATCATTTGTATTGCTTGCTGATGTATATTGCATCAAAACCTTGAGAATTCATCAGGATGATCACTTCACAAACAGCTTCAATGTGAAAGTGTGGTGGGCAGGGCTTTGAGGTCACATGAGCTGATGAGGGCGGAGCTCACCTGCGACTCCAGGTGCTTCTCTGTGAGAATCATCATTTCTTCATACGTCATCTGACAAAAGAGCGACGCATATTTATGCAGACGGAGACTCTTCAGCCAGGACGGTACGTCTGCAAGAGAAACACACACACACACACACACACAGAGACGCAGACAGACACAGACAGACAGACAGACAGACACACACACACACACACACACAGAGCAGGGCTGGATGTCTGTGGAATGTCTGCGACATACTGGCACACTTGTGGGAACACCAGAGAGAGAAAGGGACAAGACAAATGCAAGTACGTACAGAGGTGTTAAGCTATCTCTATGGGGAACGGCTGTGTAGGCAGTGTAAGGCATGAATAGCTGGTGAGGGGCAGCTAGTGAGGTAGGGTGCTATGTTTTTGTGTTCGTGAACACAAAGAGAGAGTTTGAGTAACTTTGTTGAGGGGGCTGTAAGCAGGGGTCAGCTGATGACCGGGCTATACGTGTGGTCAAAACTATTACTCAAAGCACTGATGGTTCATGGGCTTGGTCACTATGACAAAACTGAAATAAAATAAGATGAAATCAAAAAAGAAAGGGAAGAAGGAAGATTTTACCTATTTAGTTTTTTTGCTAGGAGATATGACTAAGCAGGTGTCACTTGTGGGTGATGCTGCAATAGACTCATAAACCTAGGGTTAGACTGTTAGCTAAGCTAGCAGGGACACACCAAATACCTCAAGGTCAAAAAAAAAAAAAAAAAACAATGCCAATAATTATAATACTTATAAAAATGATTAGCTGATGACGTTAACTAAAAATTGCCAAATATCGGCCGATATATATTGGCCGACCACTTAATAGAATCACTGGATCTGCACAACAGCTGAATGTCCCAACACACACACACACAGACACACAGACACAGACACAGACACACAGACACAGACACACAGACACAGACAGACACACAGACACACAGTCACAGACACAGACACACAGAGACACAGACACACACGCACACAGACAGACACGCACACGCACACGCAGACAGACACACAGACACACAGACACAGACACACAGAGACACAGACACACACGCACACAGACAGACACGCACACGCACACGCAGACACACAGACACACAGACACACAGAAGGTGAAGTGGATCAGAAAACTACCGTCGTCCCTGTCCTCAGGGTTCCTACCCATTTTCCATTTCAAAATTCCATACTTTTCCAGACTCAAATTTCCAAACTTCTCAGTAGATTTTCGGACCATATTTAACATAAATGGTTCATAGAGCATTATTTTCAGCAGGGCCATAGCTGGGAAACTTCTCAGTAGATTTTCAGACCATATTTAACATAAATGGTTCAAAGAGCATTATTTTCAGCTTTATATTTGGTATACAGTACAGTCATCTGTAAATATTCGAAGTGATTACAAACAGAGTCCCTAAAATAAAAAATTATCTAAAAAAAAAAAAAAACAGACTTTTACATGCACACAAGAAACTTTTTTGTGCCCTCGAGAAACTATTTACATGTGCATGGGAATTTTTTGCATGCTTACGTATTACAATTTCTAGCTTTATATAACCTATCTCCTTTGTGCATCACTATGAATAAAACAATAGCATGGATGCACATGAATTAATAGAGATCTATTTGCTCAAAATGTGTCTTTTCTTATGGTAGTACCTCTAATATAAAGGCCTAATGTCTAATTGAACACATCTCTGTGGCGGCGGAGAAAGCATGACACGAAACGGGCTGATGGCATAAAATCTGCCAAGTTCAAGGGTCTATGAAAAAGACTGGTACTGTAAAAAGTGTTTAGATGTGGCTTTTATTAAGGCAGTATGCCAAAAACTGTTTAGACTAGTCTTAAAAAGTTAGTCATCTAATTTTTTTTCTTCAAGGCTGGTCATAGGTTTTTAAACTCAGTTATGAAAAGGTAGATGTGTCTCATTTGTATTGGAAAAGTTAGACTGATTACCCCTTGGCTACTGCTAGTTGGTCAAACTAGTTCTTTAAGAGACAGTCTTAACATGATGGCTAAGTTTATGCAACTGGCCCCTGGAAAATACTTAAAGGAACACGCCACTATTTTTGAAAACAGGCTCATTTTCCAACTCCCCTAGAGTTAAACAGTTGAGCTTTACCGTTTTCAAATCCATTCAGCCGATCTCCGGGTCTGGCGGTAGCACTTTTAGCTTAGCATCTCGCTCAAAAATGACCAAAGAGTTTCTATATTTTTCCTATTTAAAACTTGACTCTTCTGCTGTGTGTGTGTGTGTGTGTGTGTGCGTGTGTGTGCGTGCGTGTGAGACTGGTCACCTCTCATCCCGCTGCCGTCCTCCTGGAAAGTGTTGCGTGTGTTGCTCTGCTCCTCCGTCTGTTCGCTGCCTGATGAAGCCACGCTGCTCTGCGGCGACAGAGGGGCGTGTTCTACTCCGGACACGCCCCCCTCCTCCTGGCTCAGCCAATCAGAGCTGCAGGCCGGCTGATTGGCGGGTGTGAGAGACATGGAGGGCTTCATTGAGCTCGGCTGCACCTGACCAGCCAGTCCTGCGGAGCGATTATTACAGATATTACATCCAAACTAAACACTGTTCCTGCTCTCTGTGTTCTTCAGATCATGGCCATGTGCATTTTGGTCCTTTTGAGTATGTTTACATTTTCACCAATCCAATGAATCAATCAGATTTCTGAAGGCTTCGTTTACATGCATGATAAATATGCATGTTTAGATGTGCATTATCTCTATTCTGAATAAACTAAAGCGCATTCGCAGTGCATCAGTTGCTGCATTCAGAAACGGAGAAAATTATAATTAAATGTGTTAAAAATGATGAACAAGGTTTAAATATTGTCCAGCTGTAGAACAAGCAAGATTACATTTGTAAAAGATAAAATAAAAAATATTTGTAAGTTTATATCTCACCATTCTGACTTTTTTCCTCAGAATTTATTTTGCCATTCTGAGATTAAACAAAAACAACTTTTTATTGAGAGGTAAAAAGTTGCAATTACCATCTTAATTTGTTTTTATTCCATGGTAAAAACTAGTTGTTGTTTTTTATCGAAATTGTGACTGTACATCATATAATTCTTATTTTCTTCTCAGAATTAGAAATTAATTCACATTAATTAATTAACCTTGCAATTGCAAATTCATGTCTCACAATTTTGAGTTTATATCTCAGAATTCAGACTTTTTTCCCTCAGAATTACTAGTTTGTTTCTCTCAATTCTGAAAAAGTCCAAATTGTGAGAATGTTTTTTAACCCTTTAACTGTGACTCCCATTTTTGAGCATAGACGTGAAAGTGCACCACCCAAACTTAAATTGTTATAATTCATGAACGAATATATATTTTGTAACATAATTTGATGTACCATTTCCATGGTAATGCAATGTCTGATTCAAGATGAATTTTGAGATTTTAAGCTTTCAATTTATATATAATTTATGATGATTTCTAAAGTGTGATAGTGAAAAAGGCAAAGGTCAGAACTCCTGTTATGATGAAGATTTTTGAGGTGCACTCTTGTCATAAATTAATCTATTACTGTTCCTATATAATTTGTAACAAAACGGTGGTAAAATCTCTATTTAGGAGTCTTAAGCCCCGTTCACACCAAGAACGATAACTATAAAGATAACGATATTAGCGTCCACACCGTCTGTTTATTCCAAGCACATGCTCGTCTGCCGCTTTAAATTCTCCAGCTCGTTACAGGAGGACTGATTCTGATTGGCTGTCAATATTTGTATCGTTCATCTCGTTCTGAAAGTGATTCAGGCGAACTGAACAACTAGTTGTTAATGACGTATTTAAACGCACATCAGAACTGTGTCAGAATATAACAGTGAAAAATAGCTTATAGCCACTGATCTATAATAGAGAACATTATATGTGACCCTGCAGCACAAAAGCAGTCTTAAAGGGATAGTTCACCCAAAAATGAAAATTCTGTCATAATTTACTCACCCTCATGTCGTTCCAAACCTGTATGAGTTGCTTTCTTATGTTGAACACATAAGAAGATATTTTGAAGACTGCTGGTAATCAAACAGTTGGTGATTGCCATTGACTTCCATAGTATTTTTTTTCCCTACTATGGAAGTCAATGGCACCCACCAACTGTTTGATTACCAGCAATCTTCAAAATATCTTCTTTTGTGTTCCACCAACTGTTTGATTACCAGCAGTCTTCAAAATATCTTCTTATGTGTTCAACACAGTCGCTGGGGTATATTTGTAGCAATAGCCAACAATACATTGTATGGGTCAAAATTATTCATTTTTCTTTTATGCCAAAAATCATTAGGATATTAAGTAAAGATCATGTTCCATGAAGATATTTTGTAAATGTCCTACCGTAAATATATCAAAACTTAATTTTTGATTAGTAATATGCATTGCTAAGAACTTAATTTGAACAACTTTAAAGATGATTTTCTCAATATTTAGATTTTTTTGCTCCCTCAGATTCCAGATTTTCAAATAGTTGTATCTCAGCCAAATATTGTCCTATCCTAACAAACCATACATCAATGGAAAGCTTGTGTTGCCAGATATTCATAGAGAAAAAAACAACAAACAAGGTCAAGCACAAAAAACCCCCAAATGCTTTATGTTTCATAACACCAAAAAACATCATATATCCGCTCCATATTAACTCCATAAAGTGTCTATCTTTATAAGCGAAGAACAAACAACGTGCCTAAAAGTGCTTGTAAATATGAGGACATGGCAACACCGCGAGACAGCACTCTCTAAAGCAGATAGCACGTCTATCAGCGGTAGTTCAGTTAAAATCGAGTCTTTAGCCAAAAAATGGCTAAGAAATTCTTCACTCTCGCAAGACGCCAAAAGTGTTGCTATGGTAACAAATGCGTTCCGTACACACATGGAACGATCATGTACAGGACTGTCACTGCGGACGCTTGCCGCTGGTTACCTGTGCTGCTGCTGACAGGTGAGGTCACTCCGCCCGGTCCAGGGAACGCCACGTGTCCGTTCTGTCCGTACGCCGGCTCCAGGGCCCACTCGTCGGAGCCCTGCCGGGCGTGATGGAGCGGGGCCGGCCGCGAGGACAGGTGCTCCTCCAGGTGACTGAGCCACAGGGCCAGAGAGTTGCGGTCGTCAAGGGGGGGGGCGGGATGGATGAGTGCGTAGGACAGCAGCTGGCGGCTCTCCTCCACGAACAGGCTGCTCTCGATGCTGTGGCTCAGGACCTTCTGCAGCAGCTTCATGTATTCACACTTAGCTTCGCTGTTGCGCGGCTGCAGCAGGGGCAGATGGGAGAGCAGGAGCGACACGGCCTTCTCCTTCGGCTCCTGCTGCCACTGACTGACCACGGCTGCAGAGAGACGAGAACGAGATGTAACTACATTATGTAATTACAAAATAAATGCAATTGTAATCAGTCACTGAGAAAAAATGTGGAATTAAATTAGAGTTACTTATGAAAATCTGACTATCTGAAAATTCCAGACTCAGATTTCCAAACTTCTCAGTAGATTTTCAGACCATATTTAACATGTATGATTCATTGAAGCTTTATATTTTGGTACAAGTCCTCTGTGTTTATTCATTGATTTTCTCGAAGTGACAACATACAGAGCCCCTAAAAAATAAAAATAAATAAACACACAGACTTTTGCATGCACACGGAAACTATTCACATGCGTTTGGGAATTTTGTTTGCGTGCTCACGCATTACAATTTCTAGTTTTATATATGGGTCAAAGACGAAAAAGGGTTTAAGCATGAAAACAATGCTGCTTTAAATTGTTGTTTTTCCAAAAAAAAAAAAAAAATTGTAATTAGAAAGTTTTCTGTTTAATGTAATTGTATTTTTGTTTTTCTGAGCAAAAAATAAATATCATACATTTTCCCCTGATTTACAGAAGAGACGCGCTAAAATGTCATTCAGTGTAACAATCTCGTCAGGCGTATTTACAACAAAAATCAATTTATGACATATTAAAAGACTAATTACTTTCACCCAAAATACTAATTAGTTGTTATTTTACTTTTTTTATTTTTTATTTGCCACTATCCTAGGTTTGGCCCATTTGTCAGTAAGAATTTTTACTCATTTAAAACCCAATAAAATTTAATATGCTCCCTTATTCTTTTATATATTTTAATATGCACACGTCAGAATAAGCATGTTTGAATTTTTACATAACTGTAAGTGTTACACTGAATGACAATGTAACATTATTTCAACCAAATTTTGACATTTTATTCTCCAAAAACTTAAAAGTAGACACTTTACTTACATTCAATGTGCTTTCTATAGACATAAAATCACTTTTGTACATTTCTTTTGATGCGGACATCTTAACGTCTTTGACTCATATACTATAACCTATTTCTGTTGTGCGTGCGTCCCTGACATCTTACTATGTAGAAAATAAGAGCATGGATGCACATGAATTAATAGAGATCTATTTGCTCAAAATGTGGTAAATAGATAATATCAAGGACTAATGTGCAATTTAATGCATCCTCTGTTGAAGAAATGGGCCGATGGCACAACACAGCTGTGTGCAGCGTCTTATTTGACAAGTTCAAGGGTCTATAAAAAAGACTGGTACTGTAAAAAACTGTTCAAAATTTGCCTATATTTAGAGCAGTACATCATATTTCAAAGCCATAAGTCTGCTTTAACGCATACTCTGTGCGGCCAAAAAAACACCCCACGAAATGAGCAGACGGCGCAATTAAGCTAAGTTTCTGTGCGCACACAAAATAAAAGTCTGTATATTTTTCTGCAAACATCCTTTTAGAGGCTCTGTAATACAGTCCTAAGAATATCGTGAGAAGAAACCCAAAACCTGACTATAACCTGCAATTTTTAAATTCATTCATTCGTGTTTGACAATCATTAAACAGCTGCCATGAAAAAACCTGCCTGCTTTACATGTTTGAAAACGATTAACAGTTTAGAAAAGTAACCAAAAAGTAATCAAATGCAATCAGTTACATTAATAAAGTAACTGAAATAGTTACACTACTTATTACATTTCCAAAGTAACCTTCCAACACTGAAAATAAGTGATGTGCAGATGTTACAAAGTTCTGTTTGATTTAAACTTGAACCCTTTTAAAGGGAAAGTTCACTAGAGTTTGGGAACCGAAAATCAATTCCAATTCCAGAATCGGATACTTAAGGTCAGGAACCGGATATTTGTAGTAAAATTTAAATTTAAATTCCGCCTATCAATTCCTGTGTGCGCATCTTCTGTTTAGCTGAAATTAAAACATATTTGTCTTTGAATCATTCATTCAAGAGATTCATTCAGACACACTGATTCATCCAGTAATGAATCTTGAGTGAGTCATTGAATCATTCCATTCATAAATTCCATGAGATTTTGTTTAGTTGTCTAATATTTTTTGTCGTGCAGCTCTACTGTACAGACAGTGACTTGTAGAGTTATTTTATATAGTATATTTTTATGCCATTTGTGGAGTTTGACATACCCTGGTCACTGCCTGCTTTCACCGAATGGAACAATAATGATGACAGAAACTGTATTTATGGATGAACTGGCCCTTTAAAAATAACACACCAGTGCTCGTGCATGGTGGACGCCAGCCGGGCACGGGTCAGTGTTTGGGTTCAGGGGTCAAAGGTCACGGGCAAACGCAGACGTGACTAGAGCATCTTCACGCGCACAGCTGCACACAGAGCACACGCGTGTTAAACAAAGCACACAAACACTCATTCGTCCCTCTTTCTGTCTCAGAGTATCACAGAGCTGCACATAATCAGATTCCCACCGTCCTGCAGACCACAGCAACTCTCAGCGGATCACATCCATCACTAGCCACTCACAAACCAGGGCAAGTTAGTAAGAGATGACTACATGCAGTCAGAAGAGGGGTACCTTCAGACAGACAGTGTAAAATCATTCAGATGAGGTGTAAAATCAGGGTAAACGAGGAAGAAATGAAAATGGGTGCATTCAGTCAGGGTAAAACCAGTCTGAAGAGCAGTCAATGCAGTCAGATGAGCGTAGAATCATAGAATCGGAGGGTTAAGTCGATTAAATATGAAATGAACTGTAAATGTGAAATACATCGATGTGAGGCGGCGGTGTATCGATAGCCGCTGTTAGCTTTAACACACACACATCACTATTAAAGCCATACGCTATAAACACACACGCAGATAGTGATGAGGATGATTAAATGAGCCGCAGTGGGTCTGATTTAATGTTTATTAATCGTAATTAGCGCAGAAATGAAATAAACGCTGAACACTGAAGCGCGGCTAACAGGCCTGATGCTAAAGCTAATGCTAACAGCAATCTGACTGAACGCAACATAAACATAAACATAAACATAAACACACACACACACACACCGTATAACAATAACAACACACCTGATTCATCATTACACTCAATAACCCACAGTTCATGATGGGAAGCATCGCCAACACACACACACTAAAGCACAAAACCAGAGCTAACACACACACACTTACTGAGCGACGCGCGTGAGAACGGCGTGGAAACACACAGACGGTCCTGAAGATCACCAGAGCTGCTCTAACGTAACGTTACCGACAGACAGCGACTCTCTCTCTCTCTCTCTCTCTCGCTCTCTCTCTCTCTCTCTC